TAGGAAATCTTCTTAGACCAAAAACAAGAATAAAAGTTGAATTAAGAATCAGAAATCTCCCAGAACAGAAAAGCCCCAAAACCACATGATTTCATTGGTGAATTCTACCAAACATATGAATAATTAATGACCGTCTTTATCAAAATCTTATAATAGTGGAATAGAGGGAACACATTCAACGTCATTCCATGAGGTCATGTTACCTGGTTACCAAAGCAGTATAAAAACAATTCAAGAACAAAAAGTTCTAGTTATTCCGATATAAGTATTGCTACTCTGATTTTTTTTTTTGACATCCATTTGCATGCTAAATGTTTCTCCACCCCCTTACTTTCAATCTGCAGGTTTCTTTAGATCTAAAATGAGTCTCTTATAAGCAGCATATAGAAGAGTCTTATTTTTGTTTTTGTTTTTGTTTAAAGAGGTAGAAATTTATTGAACACATGGCAAGGGGAGTGGCAGGCAGGACCACAGAGGAGAGGCTATCTGCTGGGTCTTGTTTTTTTTAATCCATTCTGATACCTGATGTCTTTTGATTGGCGCATTTTGTCCATTTACGTACAAAGTAATTATTGATAGATATGTGCTTATCCCATATATCTACTCATTTTGATATTTTCTGGAGATTTTCTCTGTTCCTTTCTTGTCTTTGTCACTTTTGGTCTCTTCTTTGCACTCAAAGAGTCCCTTTAATATTTCTTGCAGGGCTGGTTTGGTGGTCGCGAACTCCTTCAGTTTTTGTTTGTCTGGGAAACTCTTGATCTCTCCTTCTATTCTGAACTATAGCCTTGCTGGATAGAGTATTCTTGGCTGCAGATTTTTCCCATTCAGCATTTTGAATATATCATGTCACTCTCTTCGGGCTTGCCAAGTTTCTGTTGAGAAATCTCCAGCTAGCCTTATGGGTCTTTCCTTGTAAATTAAGGACTTCTTTTGTCTTGATACTTTTAAGATTTTTTTTTTCTTTATCACTGTATTTTGCAAATTTAAATCACAATATGTCTTGGTATTAGTCTGCTTTTGTTGATTTTGATGGGAGTTCTCTATGCCTCCTGGATTTGGATGTCTCTTTCCTTCCCCAGATTAGGAAGCTATAATTTCAGCTATAATTTCCTCAAATAAACCTTCTGCCCCCTTTACTTTCTCTTCTTGTGGGACTTCTATAATGTGAATGCTATTATGTTTGATAGAGTCACTGATTTCCCTAAGTCTATTCTCATGTTGCATAATTCTTCTTTCCCTCTTTTGTTCAGCTTCATTATTTTTCATGATTTTGTTTTCTATGTCACTAATTCATTCCTCTGCTTTCTCCAGCCTGCTGTTCATTGCATCAAGCCTTTTTCCAATCGTGTTTGTTGCATTCTTCTTCTCTGATTCTTTTTTTTTTAACTTTTTTATCTCTGTTGTACAAGTCTCACTGATATCTTCTATTCTTTTCTCAAGCCCAGTGAATATCCTTAAGACTGTTGCTTTCAATTCTTCATCAGGCATGTTACTTGTATCTGTTTCACTTAGATCTTTGGTCTTATCATGTTCTTTCATTTGGGATAAGTTCCTCCATCTTGGCATTTTGTCTAAGTCTCTGCCTTCTTCTCTGTGTTAGAAAAGCCAGTTATGTCTCCTACCAGTAATGGCCTTCTGAAGAAGTGCTCCTGTAGTGCCCAGGGCCTGCAGTTTCAGGGAGTGTCTTGGTGTGTGCTGGGTGAGCTCTGCTGTTGTATTTTGTTTACTCTATGCTCCAGGCCTGTCATCTGCAGAGGCTCTCCTTGCCTACTGTGGGCAATGTTTGGTCTCTGCCCTAAATGTAGTGAGTTTTAACTAGGTGTGCTCTGGTCTGCTTGTGAGATGAGACTTGACACCAACTCCACCAGAACTGAGACCCTGCAGAATTCTCTGGTTGGGACACATGGTATGGGCAGGGATTTGTGCTGGGCTTCTGAGAGAGGGGCCCACCACCCTGGGACTGAGGTAAGCTTGACAGAGAAGAGCAGTCCCACCAGAGGACGGGGGAGTGGGGCTTGGTATAAGTAAGTTAGGCAGCCAGTGCTGCACTGCCTCTTGCTGGTAGCTCTGTGTTTATGCTGAGAGATGGGGGAGGGAAATGGGCTTAGCCAGCTATCCTGTTCCCAGAGAGGCATCTCTGTGAATGCTTCCACCCCCAGACACTCTGAGTGAATAATCTCCCCACTCTGTGCTCCAAGCGTTCTTCAAATCACTGTTTCCTCACTGTCTGCCCTGGGGTTGTTTGCCTGTCTTCTCTCCAGGAGCAGGGCAGTGCTCTCAGGACTCTATCCCAGCCAAGCCTGCTGACCTTTAAAACTCTAGGCTTTAAGCCCTGTTGGCTGCAAGAACTTAAGAAATTCAGCCCTTCTCATTTTCCAAGCCAATGGCTTTGGGAAAACATTCTCCTTGTGTGCTCCCCTCTGTTCCTCTCTCTTTCATCCTTCTGCACAGGACCAGGGCTCCCTCCCCTCCACAGCAGCCACAGTCTGTTTTACCCCTGAATCATATCTCCGTAATTCTACCTTCTTCAATGTGGCCTCTTCTTGCCCTTTAGTTGTGGAATCTGTTCCATCAGTCTTCAGACCAATTTCTGGGTTATTTAGGATGATTTGATAGTTATCTAGTTGTATTTGTGGGACAAAATGAGCCTAGGGTCCTCCTACTCCACCTCCATCTTAGGGAATTCTGATGACTTCTTCTGTTCTGCCTATGTTTTCTTTAGGAGTTTTATGGTTTTCTTACATTCAAGTCTTGAATCCATTTTGATTTTTTTTTTTTTTTAAGATTTTATTTATTTGAGAGAGAGAGAATGAGAGACAGAGAGCATGAGAGGGAGGAGGGCCAGAGGGAGAAGCAGACTCCCTGCCGAGCAGGGAGCCCGATGTGGGACTTGATCCCGGGACTCCAGGATCATGACCTGAGCCAAAGGCAGTCGCTTAACCAACTGAGCCACCCAGGTGCCCTTGAATCCATTTTGAATAAACTTTGTGTATCGTGTAAGAGAGTGGTCTGTTTCCATTCTTTTGCATGTAGCTGTCCAGTTTTCCCAGCACCATTTATTAAAAAGATTGTCATTTTCCCCTTTTGTATTATTGACTTCTTTGTTGTAAATTAATTGAACATATATGTGTGGGTTTATTTCTGGGCTCTCTATTCTGTTCCATTGATCTATGTGTCTGTTTTTATGCCAATACCATACTGTTTTCATGATTAACTGTGTAGTATAGTTTGAAGTCATGGAGTGTGACACCCTCCGCTTTGTTCTTTTTTCTCAAGATCATTTGGCCACTTAGGGTCTTTTGTGGTTCCGAATTTTGGAATTCTTTGTTCTAGTTCATGAAAAATGCCACTGAAATTTTGATAAGAATTTCATTGTATTTATAGATTACTTTGGGATGTATGGGCATTTTAACAGTATTAATTCTTCTTTTTTTTTTTTTTTAAAGATTTTATTTATTTATTTTAGAGACAGAGCACAAGAGGGGGGAGAGGGAGAAGCAGACTCCCCGCTGAGCAGGGACCCCCAATGCGGGACTCGATCCTGGGACTCCAGGATCATGACCTGAGCCGAAGGCAGTTGCTTAACCAACTGAGCCACCCAGGCGCCCCTTAACAGTATTAATTCTTATAGTTCATGAGTTTAGATTATCTTTCCATTTATTTGTGTCATCTTAAATTTCTTTCTTCTGTGCCTTGTAGTTTTCAGCATACAAGTCTTTCATGTCCTTGATTACATTTATTCCTAGGCATTTTATTCTTTGTGGTGTAATTATAAATGGGATTGTTTTCTGAATTTTTCTTTCTGATAATTCATTATTAATATGTAGAAATGCAACAGATTTTGTGTATTGGTTTTGTATCCTTGGTTTTTGTATCCTACAACTTTACAGAATTCATTTATTAGTTTTAACAGTTTTTGGTGGAGACTAGGATTTTCTATGTATGGTATCGTGTCATCTGCAAAGAATGACAGTTTTACTTCTTCCTTATCATCTTGGATGCCTTTTTATTTCTTGTTCTTGTCTGGCTAGGATTTTGAATATGTTGAGTAAAAGTGCTGAGAGTGGGCATCCATGTCTTATTATTGATCTTCAGCTTTTCTTCATTGAGTATGATGTTTGCTCTGGGGTTTTCATACATGGCCTTTATTATGTTGATGCATGTTCTGTCTATACCCATTTTGTGGAGAGTCTTATGATAAATAAATGTTGAATTTTATCAAATTCTTTTTGTGTATCAGTGGTGATGATTGTGATTTTTATTAATGTAATTTATCTGCTAGATTTTGGATTTTTATATTTCTATTTCATAATCTCAATGTATTGTTTTAAATTTACCCTTTGATTTCTTCATTAATTCATTGGTTGTTCTGTAACATGTTGTTTAATATCCACATATTTGTGATTTTCCCAGTTTTCCTCCTGTAATTGATTTCTAGTTTCATATCATGGTGTCAAAAAAGATGATTAATATGATTTCATTCTTCTTAATTTTATTGAAACTTGTTTTGTAGCCTATCATGTGATCCATCCTAAAGAATGTTCCATGTGCACACCAGAAGAATGTATATGTTCTGCTATTGGATAGAATGTTCTGTATACATCTATGATAAGGTCCACCTGGTCTAATGTGTTGCTTAAAGCTGTCTTGTTTTTTTTTTTTAATTTTGATTTTTTTGTCTGGATGGCTTATCCATTGATGTAAGTGGGGCCATTAAAGTTCCTTACATTAATGTATTGCTGTCAATGTCTCCCTTTAAGTTTGTTAATTTTTGCTTTATTTATTTAGGTGTTCCTATGATGGTGCATAAATATTTATAAATATTATATCCTCTTGTTGGATTGACTTCCCTCCCGTTTTGTTTCTTTACATGAAAAAAATAATTAAAATTCTATTAACCAAATATTTATTTAAAAATATGTCTCATATTTTTATGAAACTCCAGAAATCAGAAAATACAAACACTACAATCTTTTCTTTCTTATTAATTTTAACAGCAATTCCTGAGTTTGTAACACAAGTGAACGTTGCCTTAGAAGCCTTAAGTAAAAACTCTTTGGATGTATTTGATGATGATCAATTTGTGGACATCTCAAAGAAGATCTATGACACAATTCATGATATCAGATGTTCAGTCATGATGATTCGGGTAAGTTTGCTTTGCTTTCCATTGAATTATTGCAATCCTTCTCACCATTTGGAATGCTTGGAATGACTGCAAGAATTATTTTATTTCTATTTCATAATGTCAATGCTGAAATCCACTAGAACTTTAGAAATTCATATGTATCCCTGAAGTCAAATCTACTGTCACAAACAACACTTTCACTTATGTATTTGGTTATAACTTATGCAAATGAGCACATTTAACTGCTGTGTGTGCAGAAATGATAGGATTCCTTGTGTGCAGAATTCACTGAAGTGTCACATAGCATGATCAGGAGCCAAAGGAAAATACATAAAGTAATTTGCTTTCTTTTCTTGAATGGAAAGGAAAGGATCTTTCTCATCACTGTATTGAAATTGGTAGGAAAATGTGTCTAAAACAGAGTGTTTCTATGGTCAAACCTTCTCATAGTGGATTAGAGACTCAGACTGTTCTGTAAGAAATCCCACATGGAGCTGATAAGAACAACAAACACTTGAACTGTCCCAGTCTGGGAATTGTCTGTTTGGGGGAAGATATGCCATCTTCATAAGGGTGAAAGTGAGCCCTTTATTGTGGGTGTACTGCATACACAGAGACCAGGATTATTTGTTTTCACTCAAATATTAATGTGGGGTGTTTATTCAAATTTTATTTGAAAAACAGTGGAGGCTTTCTGGAAAATGCCCATGTAAAGATATGGGGATATTTTATCTTAGAATGGGTTCACCTGAAGGCAGATCTGAGGTAAGAATCTGTGTTACCATTAGTCTATTTAGGAGAAAGTAAGAAAGAAAAAGTGAGGCAGGGAGGGGAAGTAAACCAGCAAGATGTAATTATGCATCACTACTGGCAACTAGGGCTCAATCCTGCTGGGAAATCTGGGCGATACTATAGAATACACCTCAGAATTACCTTACCTGAGGTGAACAAAACCCAATATATTTACCTATTCATCCTTGATTAAAGGCTACCCCTCCTCAGAGTGTTACTAAAGCCTCCTGCGTGGGTCAGTCAAGCTCTTGTGGCCAAAAAAAGCAACCCTCAGGCAGAGTGGCAGGTGCTTGCAATAAGAAGATTCAGTAGGAATGGTGAGTGTAATTTGTTAAGTATGAAGAGTGTTTAATTTGAAAGCCTCTACATTTAACTGTTAGTGAGACTATAAAGATGGAACTAGAAGTTCTGAGGATATATGGAGTGAGCACCAATAGTATCTGACGGGCTTGAATGTCATAGTTAGGTTACACAGAGCAGTATATAAAAATGGAGTCATTTGGGGATCTTGTAAGGAAAAAAGCCAACAAAAGTTGAAGACACTGGCAGGGCAATGGATGCTTATGAAAGAAATTCTAAGAAAGGCTAAAGGTGTCAAGATATAGGATCTAGCACTTCAGAGCCTGGGAAAACCTGAAAGCAAGCCAATAATATGTAAAAGAGAGAAATTTCCACGTATATATTATTCATATGTGATTGAGTGCTGTGGCACTGTACCAGTACTATGTCTGAGCTGCAAAGTACATTTTCAAATATTTTCTAATTCTAAAAAAGGATTTTAAACCTTACCCATGTGGACTAGTGGACTAGCAGACTGCTCATAATCCAAAACTGAGAAGATAGGTAGAACCAGGAGAGAAACATAGAGTGAAGCGCATGAATTTCAGGAAGTAGTCTTTCCAGAGTAAAACGCCTGCATTTCCGGTATCCCTGGGTGGATATGTAAGAAGATTAAACCAGTGAAATAGCATAGGTAAACCAGGGTAGGATATGGATTTTTTTTCTGAAAAATCTATCTATGGATGAAAAAAGTCTTGTAATAGCTCCCATTTGTATGTTTTAGTCTTAAAAAGTTTCCTCCTTATCAAAATAGCTTACTTATAGCAAATCATATTATCTTGCCATTATTTCTATATATCTCTCATATCCAGCAGTCCTCTGTAGGGCAAGAGAATAATTTATTGTAATTATTTAATAGCCTTAGAGGGCAGTAATTTTTCCCTACAGTCATCTCTTTTTCAAGGTACATACTTCAATTTCTTTTAACTTTTCCTCGTAGGAATAATTTAGTATTTTGTGTTCTTTACCAGTCCTATTTAACTTTTCAACAAAATTCTCAAATGAGACTATCAAAAAGCATACTCTAATTAGGGCCTGTCCAAAGTCAAATAAAGTGGAAAACTTGTTCTTATGTTGCCAATAATATAGCCGACTGCTATGAACTTATGTTTTCCCCTCTTAAATACCAAGATTGTTGGATAGACCATTTCTTTTTCTTTTTTACCCTGTTGTTGCCTGTATATGCTTCTCCATTTTGATTTGATATGTTTGCTCTTGGTCATAAATCCTTATCATGTTAAACTTTATTATATTTCTAAATGATTCTTCATATAATTTATCAGGTTGCTTTTTTTCATTTTTATTTTTTTATTATGTTTAATTAGCCAGCATATAGTACATCACAAGTTTTTGATGTAGTGTTCAATGATTCATTAGTTGCGTATAATACCCAGTGCTCATCCCAACACATGCCCTCCTTAATACCCATCATCTGGTTATGCCATTTCCCCACCCCCTCCCTTCTGTAACCCTCAGTTTGTTTCCTGAGTCCAGGGTCTCTCATGGTTTGTCTCCCTCTCTGATTTCTTCCCATTCAGTTTTCCCTCCCTTCCCCGGTGGTCCTCCCCTCTATTCCTTATGTTCCTCATATGAGTGAAACCATATGATAATTGTCTTTCTCTGCTTGACTTATTTCACTTAGCATAACCCCCTCCAGTTCCATCCACATCGATGCAAATGGTAGGTATTCATCCTTTCTGATGGCTGAGTAATATTCCATTGTATATATGAACCACATCTTTATCCATTTGTCTGTTGAAGGTCATCTTGGTTCCTTCCACAGTTTGGCTATTGTGGACATTGCTGCTATGAACATTGAGGTGCATGTGCCCCTTCTTTTTACTACATCTGTATCTTTGGGGTAAATACCAAGTAGTGCAATAGCTGGGTGGTAGGGTAGCTCTATTTTTAATGTCTTGAGGAACCTCCATACTGTTTTCCAGAGTGGCTGTACCAGCTTGCATTCCTACCAACAGTGTAAGAGGGTTCCCCTTTCTCCACAACCTTGCCAACACTTGTTGTTTCCTGTCTTGTTAATTTTGGCCATTCTAACTGGTGTAAGGTGTTATCCCATTGTGGTTTTGATTTGTATTTCCGTGATGGCTGGTGATTTTGAACATGTTTTCATGTGTTTGTTAGCCATTTGGTTGTGACTGTACCTAAATCAGCATCAATTAGAAACATGAGGTTATAATCTCAATTCCTTCATCTAGATTACTAAACAAAATATTGAATTATATTGGCCCTTCATCTGACTGAAATCTCTGCTAGATAGCTCCAGTTAAGGACCTTAGTGTTAAGAGACCTTAGAAGCTGATGTTCCATCCAACTGAGAACATACTGGTAAGTGTATGGTTTGTAAGAATGTTTTCTGAATTTTGAGGTAGAACTATTCTTCCTTCAAACACACTTTAAGGCCTAAATAAATAAATAAAACAGATAAAAAAAGAGCTCCTGTACTTGAAACCATGAAGGAGAGTCCAGGGGCCCATCATCTCTGTGTCTTCATGCCCGGTTCCTTAGGCAGCCTCTAGGGAAACTCCCACAGAACTTCTACAAGGATTCTTTGGAGGATGATCCATAAACCTGTGTATTTAACTGCTAATTGGATTATATGTTGAAAATAGAAGTCTAATTCAGGTGCAATTAATAAAAATCTATCTTTTTTTTTTCCTTTGAGGACTATCCCTTTATTATAGAATATGATAAAATTGATCTGGTGTAATCTTCTCTTTATAAGGTCAAATGTAATGCTGACCAATATCCCAATCTTAGAACTGCAAAACATTTGATGCTTTCTTCAAAGTATCTGAAGAGTGTCAATATTAAGGCAATATGTTTACAATTATGCAAGTTCAAGGAGGGCTAGGTTATGCTCTTGAGAGTGTTTTTGAATGTTACAGAATCCTGTCCTATGTCTGAATTTTCATGAGTGTTCAGTGCCCTTGAAACAATAAAATACTAACTTCAGATCAGTGCCCAAAATTTTACAAATAGTTTTGTAAAAATATGATTGTATCTGCCTTTAATATTTATTTTGGTGAATAATTATGTTAGCAATTGTTCAGATTATTTTTAAAATTTCTGAGAGAAAATGCTGTGACATTTAATATTACTCTCTCCACTGGATTCAGTTTGTGGACAAATTACAGAATCCCATTCTTAACCTCAAAGAGAAGGGAGTATTAAATATTTATTGTTTCTTTGGTGTTTAATATCTGCGTATAAATTTTGCAATTACTAAGAGTCTATATAGTAGTTAAGATTAAAGCAAATCATAAACCTCACTAACCTGTTTCCTCCTTTGTAAAATAAACTTTGTATTAAACCTACTTCAAAGTTATTATGCTGACAAATGAGCTAATAGCAATGAAGTACTCAGTAAATAGTAGTCTTTTATAAGAAGATAGCTACTGTTTCTACTACCTTTATGAATAGTTCTAGTACTACTGAAGCTGCTTATTATTTTCTTTATATTTTGAAGAATGTTACCTATAGAAGTTAAAGAAATGTGACTGCAGGTAAACATGAAACCAAAGCCCCAAAAGTACCTTAAAAGGTGAAGTTCTAAGCAAACAATTATATTTTTTCTCAAGATTTTGTTTTATATACAAGGAAACTTTATGTTTATCGAGTATCTGAATTATAGATTATTTAATGCAAATTGTGCCTTTAAGCCTATATTACTTTAAGCTAGCGTATAATTCTGTATGTTGTTTTTATTAACTTCTTGAAATGTGCATGAAGGACTTGATGGTTCATCTTTTTGGGAAATGTGCTTAACCAGAAATAGATATTAAAAAGGGCAACATAAATGAATTGTGAGAAACGTGGGTGGTCAGCAGTGAAATATCCTCAAAAAGAGGAAAAGATTCAGCAAAAATTCAGCC